GGGGGGGGGGGGCGCTGATGGGTTCTTCTGGTGTTTGATACTCGTTTTCTCATTCTTTTTCTGATTTGGACGATGTATGATGTGCACACTGTAGATTATATGATATGTAATAGGTTTGTTTTGGATTGTTTGTTCATGGCAGGAATGTATAAGAACCAGTTGCAAGAGTTAGCACAGAGAAGCTGTTTCAACCTCCCTTCTTATGCATGTATCAGAGAAGGGCCTGATCATGCACCTAGATTCAAAGCTTCTGTGAATTTCAATGGCGAGATCTTTGAAGGGCCGAGCTATTGCACGACACTACGGCAGGCAGAGCACGCAGCAGCTGAGGTAGCCCTCAACACCCTATCCACAAGAGGTCCTTCAAGGTCTCTGGCTGCAAAAGTTCTTGTAAGTTCCCTAAGAAACAAAACAACAAATGATAAAGGTTGGGCTTGTTTTCTTTACATTCTTTTTAGGGTATTAAAGAATGTCCCTTTGTCTTTTGTTGCTTCTTTTTTTTTTTCTCTTTTCCTTCATAAAAGGATGAGACTGGAGTGTACAAGAACCTTCTACAAGAAGCGGCTCATAGAGCTGGCCTGAAACTCCCTGTTTACACCACCGTCAGATCAGGTCCTGGCCATGTACCCGTTTTCACGTGCACTGTAGAGCTTGCGGATATGAGTTTCACGGGCGAACCAGCGAAAACGAAGAAGCAAGCTGAGAAGAATGCCGCCATGTCTGCTTGGTCCGCTTTAAAACAAAGTAAATTCTGTTTCCCATAGTTTGTTTTATGCGAGCTTACAATTACTTACTTTTATCTTTTGTGCCGTTTTTGATCATGATCATGTCATTCTGTGCAGTGCCGAACTTCGGTTCTTCATCTCTGCTGACAAGAAAACGTAGCGACAACGGCGAAGAGCAGGAACAGGTAAGAAGAAGGATGAAGAAGAAGGAGCAAGAACAGAGGGATCAGACCCAGGCAAGAAGAAGAGAGCTATTGAGTTATAGGGACAGTACCCCTAGTTCTTCTTCTTCTCATAACTTATTGCAGTATCAGAAATGGATGTTTATTGGTCCAGTATCGGATTTCTCCCTAACTTGCCCAGCCCAGCAACAGAAACAGAGAAAGAACTGCTTCTTAGCTCTTCTGCCCCCATCTATTCCACTCACATCTTCTAAGATGTTACCGCCAACGCCAACTCCAACCAGGGAAACCCATCCATCTCTCTACTCATCCAACAGGTCTACCGTAGTACAAGTTAAGAGCAGAACACAGGTCAAGTTGCAAGAGGTCCCACCTCCAGTGGAAAAGCACCAGAAGGATGAAGAAAAGTGGCTTGGTGGAAAACCAGATGTCACAGAGAAAATTATTGAAAAGGATCCCGGAAGTGCAAAGTCGAATTGTGGCTTCGGGCCAGAAGTCATCGACTATAATAAGCCATTTGCACTCCCTCGATCTGGAAAGCTCAACACTTCTAGTACTGACCACACTCGGCAACAAACCCAGATAACAACTAGTCATTTTGGACCTCTTTCTCTTCCACTGGCACCAGCTCCAGTAGGAAGAGTGGCTCCTGCAGTTCCGAGAATCCTCCACACCGGAAGATTCCATGCACAGAACATCGCCCCAGCGGTTCATATTCGATCAGTGATTCCAGTGTGTGCAGCCCCACCCATGAGGCCTCCATCATCAACTCCAACAACACCCCAGATGGAGGAAGCCTCAAAGCAAGCCTCAGCTCCAGTCTCAACAATAACAGAACAAGAGGTGTCATCAGCTAGCGCAAAGTTCAAAGATCTAAAGTTGTGAAGAAAAAAAAAGAATAAAGATATACTCAAATCATCTATTTGAAATACATAACCATCTTATTATGCAGGCTTTGCTTGATCGGTTGCCTTGTGTGTTTTTGCCTGGTGAAGGCTGTTTTCACCGCTCCATAGTTACAGCAATTTCTTTTCTTCCTTTTTTTTTTTTACTTGGATGTTTTCCAAAATTTGGTAGAATCTACCATCGAGAGAGAGAGAGAGAGAGACTACTCATACAACATGTGGTAAAATAAATGAGAAAAAATAAGGCATTAATTGAAATCTGAGGAAGGGTTGCAGAAACGAGAGAGAGAACAGAGGAGGGTGTGGCGTGGGCAGATGAGGTAGCATTGAATGAAGGAGCAGGCTCAAGAACAAACAAATGCAGTGATAAACACAAGCTTTAAGTTTGTGGTCAGAAAATTAATGGTATTGTCTTCTCCATTAATGCTCCTCTCTGTGGGAGTAGAAGCAAGAAGAAAGGCCAGAGAAACGCCAATATTTATTTCTTTTTTGAATTTTTTTCTTCTATTGTGTTGTAGTGTATTAATATAAGTCATTCTCTATCCTACTGACTGACTGCCTCACCTGCACCTGACCTGCAGTCTTGGGGACCTGGGGGCTTGGGCTTGGAGGAAAAGTCATCGGCTTTCTTTCTCGGGGTCTTCAGGTTGTTCAAATGTTTGAAAATTAGTATTCAGAACAAGTCATACATATAGCCGTTATTGTGCGGTCACTGCAAATCAAATGTAAACAAAACAAGGGTTTGTTGGTGGACAATGATGGTGAATAGAGTGTTTTTAACTGTCAATAAGGGGAATCCGTTGATTGGATTTCGGAGGGGGTAATCTAATCTAATTTATCTGCCTTTTACTGAATTGTAAATGCGTAATTCTCTGCAACGCAGTACAGAGTAATAGGGTACATTATTCCATTGCAGAAACCAGTAATCGTGCAAAGCACCCATCAGAAAGTCTAACAGGAATTAGGAATAGGAATTAGTTGCCATGTTGATAGAGTGGGTCCCGGTCAACATTCACATGTAGGCAGGTTGAATTGAACTTTTTTCTCCCCAAGCAACTGTGTGTTCAACCCTAGTTGTTGTATTTGTATCATCCTTCCTTCCGTAATTCAGTCCTTTTTATTATAAAGAAAAAAAACAAGCAATTCTTCTATATATTTAAAAAGTGGCTTAGATCAATAAACTCTGCAAAATTTGATAATGAATGCTAACTGCTAACACTGCGGTAGGCTTCTTACTGAGCATTTTACCTGTGCCAATTGTTGAAAATAAAAGCAATGCTAGCGTAATGGGTATCTACATACAAGGCATATTAAGTTAAAAGGGTATTAATTAGGAGTGATCATGGCCAGGTCGGGCTTGGTTCTTCTTCTATGTTTTTTGTATATAAAATATTATATATATATATAATAACTTTATACTAAATGATATATAATATGTATATAAATTTATTTTATACATTATAAAATACTATATATAATATATACAATAAGTGTTACATTATAATATTTATATATAAAATATAATATAACATAAAATGGTTTATGTACACATGTATAGAGTATAGAGTAAAATGGTTTATGTACTCTAGTGCAAGAGTATGTACACATGTATAGAGTAAAAGATAGCTAACATTATATGACTTGCTCCAAAACCAAAGCAAATATTCATTATATAGATAATAAATCATACAATGTAAAATAAAACATATGTATGCAAGTATATATAAAATATAAATATATTGGGGGTTGGGACTAAAGTATTGGGCCCAGACCTGCTTGTGCCCAGGCCCTGAAAAATCCAAGCCCAAGCCCAGAAATTTGTAGACTTGTCTGGGCCGGGTTAGAAATGATAACCCCTCGGCCAGGCCTCCTGCTTGTTAACAAAGGGGCTTGACAAAGTTTAATTTAAAATAAAATATATGTAGAGCAGTGAAGATATGCATAGGTGTGCATCCGGCATCCCAATCCCATTTTTCTTAATAAAATTTGTTGCTTAAACTGCATTTGGTTTGATAGAAAAATAAGAAACAAGCATAAAGTTGAAGGAAATTTTCTTAAGGAGTTTCCCTTCAACTTTCTAACCTTTTGTTTCTCTTTCTTTTCTATGAAACCATTCAGGCATTCACAGCCTTATGTTCGTTTCATTTGTAATGCATTTTCGTTTGCAGTCGTGTAAAAGTATGGGAATACAAATTATAGTTCATTTTTGTTTTAGATCTCACCTTACCCTTTTTTTTTTAATTTGCAGTACATATGAAATAAAACAAAACTCAAAGTAAAATGAAACCATAATTTATATTATATTCTCACTTGCAGTCTTTGTGTTAGTTCAAATGAAATTGCATTTACAAAGTGCAAACAAATAAAACCTAGGCTTAGTTTGGAAGGAGTACAAATGCAAATATGTAGAATGCAAAACCTTATATTTTTATTATTTTCTATGTAATTGCACTGTACATATTTGTATTTGTACTCTTTCAAAACTGAGCCTAAATGAAAATGTATGAATCAACCGAGACTGTTCGTTGGTGTGTTAGTTGATTTTACTCCAGCATACGTGAAATCAAATCTCGCAACTACCACTTTGCAAAAAAAAGGGGTCAGGAGGAAGTTATTAATGGTCATAACACTGATTACCAAAAAAGCAAAAAAAAAAAAGAAAATGTATGAAATCTTCATCAATTGACAGGATGCGATCAGATTTGGGTGAATGCTAATCACCCATTTACGGTAGAATTCAAAT